GTTGAATGTGCTACTAAGAATTATGTGCCATTCTGCACATTGTCTCATCTCATTGTGATTGATTTATCAGTTATGGAGCGCCACGTGGCTCGTATTCGCTATAGATTTCGTATTGAGGCCTTCAACAATTTCTTTCAACCGGGTTCTCTATTGAGCTAGCATCAATGGGTAATCTGGAATCGCCTTTTCCGATTTCTTAGTGCGGTTCAGAAAAAATACTTTATTTCTGTTTTACATGTACGTACATCTGTAAGCCACAAAAACCGCTCTGAATAATTCTGTGACCTGAAGCCATACTCCTCCCCCTCTTTTCCCAGTTCTCACAGAAAATCTTTCACTAGACATGCGTAGACATGCGTGCAATATACATAGATACGGCACTCGCCGTAAAAATCGAAAAATCACGCGGAAAAAAAATCGATTTTGCGTTCTTTAGTTTCTTCGTTATACTCAGTTGAATATATCATAGGATGCAGAAAGTTTCATCTCGAGAAAAAATTGTTTGAATGTGGTGCGCATATAATCCCGCTTATGCATCATGATCGTTCTTCAGAGAGATGGGTCTCAGCAGTTGCCCCAGAACGCGCCGCGTATTCAACATCGTCCATTGTATTGTGAATGGATCGATTGCTTTTTTCCAGATTTCATGGTCCCTATTCCATAGCGGCGCGTTAAATGACTAAACATGTAGTCCCTGCGCTCAAATCGTATTCTCTCATGTTCAAATGGGGATGTTAGATCAGTTTTCACCAGGACAAATAACCCTATTTGGTGAAATTTTCCAATGTTTGAGCGAAGGTTTTTCCGAAATCTGAGGAGGTAGCGGGGAAATCTCTTCACTGTTGTAGAGTACGCTTACTTGTGTGTAGGAATAAGATGACATACTTGCTTGTAGACGAGCGCTTCCGCCGTGCTGTGGCTGTGAACATGCCTCCTCGTCATGCCCTTGTGGAAAGATCAGATTTTTTGCATTTCCAGATGAACTTGCAAATCTGAAATCCCCCGTGAAAAACGATATCGTGCGAAATGCATCACTGCCCCTAACCGAAAGTTTGGTTTTCATCGCTTTCGGGCTTCTCCTCACTGCCAAGGAACTCCCCAGCAGGGTCAAGCGTGCGTTGAGGAATCCTCGACATGTCACAGGGGGGGGGGTCGTATTGGCCCGCTGGGGAAGAGATCGGGCCGATTGATACAGTAGGATCATCGTCGGAGGACAAACATTAAGGATCGAGTCGATGCCAGGCCAGAGTATTTAGAGGTGTTCGCTTAGCAATTCTTAGTTACTTCAGTGTTTTATCACCACACAAGTTAAAGAATCCGAAATTCGCACGTTTTCCAAGGGATATTTTATCTTTCAAGTGAGTCCTCAAATCTGAAGGGATGTGAAGCACACGGCGCATCCCAGAGTGGGCCCAGTTGGTTGCGCGCGCTTCAGCTACGGCTCTCTGGAGAAAGAATCTCAATTCAGGAAAATCAAGAGGATTCTGAAAGGGTTCATGTGAAATTACAGGAGGAGTACACCATTCAACAAGAAACGCAGCCTTCAGCGTTCAAGCATGAATCGTTAAGTTGAGACACGCTAAACAATTTTACACTTTTTGAAGAGAGAAAAGCACGAGGATTTTCGAATCTGCTCCTACTTTAGTATGTAATCGCCCTGAAAGGAGCTATAGTCGTTGGATAGTGCTAATGTAGCGAAAAAGTACCTTTCGGCGGTACTCGGGCAACTCTAAGCATTTATGTTTAGTGAGACCACGCTAAACAATTTTACACTTTTTGAAAGAGAAAAGCACGAGGATTTTGAATCTGCTCCTACTTTAGTATGTAATCGCCCTGAAAGGAGCTATAGTCGTTGAAATAGTGCTAATGTAGCGAAAAAGTACCTTTCGGCGGTACTCGGGCAAAATCCTCAACGTGGCCATTTTTAATACTGGACGTATGAAGCTGCTTTAGCGACCATTTGATAGAGAAAATCTTCTAGTTTTGTATGACGTATCAACTTTTTGAATTTGACGGAAATGAAGCAAGTTATTGCTCCGGAAAGTGTAAAAACTCGTGCTCGTCATGAATTTTCCTCGTTAATTGATAGTCACTTAGCCGTCAAAATGAAACAGGGACCATGAAATCTGAAATAAAGTGATCGATCATTCACATGAAGTGGAAGATGTTGAATACGTGGCGCGTTCTGGGGCAATTGCTGAGACCGATCTCTCTGAAGAAGCGATCATGTTGCATGAGTGGGATTATATGCGCACCACATACAAGCACTTTCCCACTCCAGATTGAAACTTGAGTGCACGGCGCAATCTAAGATGGAGCTCTCCAAAAATTCTTGAAAATTTTCATTGGGTGAGGTTTGCTCGTCAGCGGATCAAGATGCTCATTCAGATTATAAAAGTCAATTTCAAATCGAGTTCAACGAAAACGAAAAAAACGGGAGAGTGAGTTTTTGTTTTTTTCGGCGGCTTAACCCGATACAAACAGCTAACACTTCTACGGCATAAAACATTTGCTTCATCAACCTCGTGCGCTACACAATTGGATGACAAGAGTGCTGGGATTGAATGGACATAGACCGTTCGTAACACAAACGACAGCAGAATATTGGTGGTGTAGCTCTATGCGGCATTTTGATATGCTTTCCTTGTGGTTCAGTTGGTATCTAGGTCGAGCGACTTAAATGCTTCGTGATGAAGGTTCACACAGCGTACGAGATGAGTTTGCCTGAGTTCTTTTCGATATTCTCAAATTAGATATTTTTTTCGTCTCTTTTTTTACGTATGCTATTATCGAACTCATTGCGTGCTGCCAAATTTCGGAGGCGATTCTTTTGGAAAAAAAAAAAAAAAACCATTTTTTTTCCCCAAGAGAACGGCTTACCCCAATATACGTAATTTGGGATCCCTTATCTGATGCACTATTTTACGTATGTTCACGCGTGGATGTGAGTGTATGGCTACTGGATTTTGCAAGGCCCTCCATGTTACTGAAATTGTTCTCCTATTCATAAGGTTTGTGAAAGCGACTCAAAAAAGCTTATGATTTAATAGCACATTGAAATAAGCTATCCTAAACATAGAGCTCGCGATTTTCTACCTCGCACTTTCTCAAATTTTGAACAGTTATCTGAGAAAGTGGATTATTTCATGATATTGACAGCAGGCTCGCTCTCTTTCGTTATTTGTTCTGTCTTTCTCCTGATAATAGTGCCTGGATTCCAGCGAGCTGCGGCAAACACACAATCTACCAGGCGGGAGTTGGGAGCAGAAATTCAAGAGTGTCTTTCGGGAGTGAAGTGTCTTTTGTATGTTGTGTGAATATATACAGGAAATAAGACATGAGATTATTTTTTCCGAGAAAGGTCGTGGGAATGGAACATGATGCAAGCAGTGTTCTATGGCTCGATCCCTTCTGATGTCAATTTTGTGAATTTCTCCGAGTTCCGTTTTCTTAAGCACATTGGTCTAACCTTTTCAACTAACTAAAGCAAGCGCTATCGCAAGATTGCATTCCCCAAGGTCACGCCTGGAATGACGCAGGACTTCGGGGATGAAAATTGCTTACGCACCCTCGAGTTTCCTCCTCCCGCCGCCTAAGGCTTGGCAGCGGTTTTAGCAAAAAGAAAATGTACGGTTTGAAATGCATTGCCACCGCAACGCCCCCGTGTCTTGCGATAGCGCCCCGAAATCTTCCAAAATTGCGTAATAGGTCTGAGTTTTTCCCTATTTCTCTTGCATTTATAGGGCTAATCAGGACAAAAAAACTTTCCTGTGCTCTGAATGTGCAGGTCTCTATAGCCTGCAAAAACCGTCTTGAGAAAGCATTACACGTCGTGAACGGACGTTCCTAGTTAGTGATAAGACTAGGCAGTGATCCGCGGAGTGGCGGTATATCCGCATCGCTACAGTGTTCCCTGCTTTCAATCTTCCTTCAGGGGAGAGAAGCCCAAAATCAACTTGTAACAATATATCAAAAGAACTAATGCTAATTTTAGTCTAGCCTACTATATGTTGACAACACATATGACGTTAAAAACGATTGCGACATAAGAATTTATGTAATATCTGGGTTTCGGGTGGTATTCAATATATGTTTAGCACCATGGACCGGGCTGTTCAAATCGCAATCACATTACTCGGAACTGAGAACGAAGGTCATTACACTTCCATAACTTTTTCCATTGAAAATAATTACTATTTTTTTGCAATGCTTTGAACAATCGCTGAGGCTGCTCACTTTCTCACAATTATTAAAGTATCCATTTTTTTCGGACTGTCATGTTTGCGACAAAAACTATTCGTTTTTGAGACAGTTGTAATAGAATTCGTTTACGAAAATATGATGCATCAGTAGCTTTGCCTTACTCTCTGATGTTTCTCCTTGAAAAACATTGATTCAGGTAGCCAACCATCGCTGGCGTTTATGTACACGTCATATAAGAGCTTTCTGTATGCACATAGGTTTGTTGAACGACGTTGTGTTTCTTTGTTTTGATCTTAAAAAGTAAATTAGTAGTCACGGAGAACAGAAGTGACTGATTACATGGCAATGCCTTAGTGGTCGCTTTTGCCGAAAGAGCAAACCAACGGGTAGAAGGGGTTCTTTTTCCTAGACCCTCTTGATCTGCACTTCAGGGGCGTAGAGACGGCACGGAAAGCGGGGGTAGCAATGGTCGGGCATGTCACTAGGCAGACTGAGTTCATACGATGTGTGAACTCCGCTCTGTCCTTGCCGTTTAGGGCACGCTTGCTTCCTCTAGACAGATTCATTTTTTCGGCCTCGTCGTTACGAGGAATCTTTACAGTTTTCATCGATTCTCCCTGCAAAGTATTGAAGAGGAGAGTAATCATATCACAAGCTATTTAAAAGTCTATTATTAGTTGTATTCAGACTTTTGTTCGCTCTGATACAAATATGAGCGCTTACGTCTCTAGTGATCAAGAGCACAATGTATTTTGATGGCATCAGTACGCATATTTTTTGAAATACCCTTCTTTGTGCAGTTCTTAGGTTTCTGCTAAACTCCGCCGTTGAGCTCACTCTGCGGACAGTTTGGTGGAACAATTCTGCTATTGTGGTGAACGGATGACGCAATCGGAGGTCTTGCTATTCTCGTGCATTATTCTCGTTTGCCCCATAACTTCAGTCCACTGGTAAATATGGTAGATCTGCTGCTTTAGTGCTCAATGCCTGACAGATTGTTCACTACAAAGACTCGTCCAAGGCTAGACATGGAGAACTTCTTTTCTTTTTTGCATCGCTTTTGCATCCACTCCTTAGCTTGATTGTTTCAATCACAATTTCCGCACATGGTGATCAAGGATTATAACAGAAGTGGACGAGAAGGAAGCCCTTATGGAAGCGCTCGCAGTGAAGCCCTTGCCTTTGTCGGTTCCCTAGACGCTATACCATATTTCAAATACTGTCTGTTTTTTGCCTGTGTTTTAGCCTTCTACTCGTTCGACCATCTGGTGGCGGAACGATGCTTCGCTATTTACTTTCTCGAGGATTATGAGAGGAACCAACGCGTACATTTGGGATATTCTCTTATTTTTATATTAGTTCTCATGGCAGCATCTTCGTCGATTATTTACCATGCAGGTGTGGCAATTTTACAATAACTTGTTTCTTGATTGTTAACTGCTGTTTTAGGCCGCAATTTAGCCTTGCGAATGTTTCACAAGAATGCTGGGTTGTGAACAAAACTTTCGCCCCAGGCGGGACTAGAACCCGCACCTCTCGCTTTCCGGGCAAGTGCGCTACCAGTTACGCTACCGGGGACCATTTCATCACTAGTCTCATAGATAAGTTCATAGCTTCCAGCACTCACACGCATAACGTGTGAGTACTGAAAGCTATGCTACGTGCGGAAGTTTTGTTCACAACCCGGCATACTTGTGAAATAACATATTCTATTAGATTGAGGGGTAAGTATGTGCGAATTTTTTGAGCCTCTGTCACCGATTTGCCAACATCCGCTTACGCCGCTGTCATCGATCTATCGGGTGGAGCCCTAAGGTCTACTTGTTACGGAGTTGGAACGTCTACTTGTGCTGTTGCGGAAGGGTTTCATTTGGAAGCATACTCACCACTGCCCACTTTACAACTTCCTCCTGAGGCACTCAGTGCGCGAAGCCGGCCGAAAAGTAATAGCGCTGAAGACTAGAAGCGGCAAACAAAGGTCAAGTCGACAACCGCTTATGAATTTTTGAGAGGGCAGGTGCAACTGTGGAGACCGGATTATGGCATATATTATTGGTGCCTCCGGATGTACACTGAAGATTAGTTGCCTAATCGCCATTACCTTGTGCAGAAGTCGTGCAGTGCTTCTATAATAGAAGGCCACGATTCAAGTCCTTCGTATACCAGAGAATTTTACGGGCGGAGTCGAAAGAGCCCATAAGAATTTGGTGATTCCTGAAGCAAGAGCGGATGGGCTACCCTTACTGTCTAAGAGCCGTCGTAGGTATAGCTATGTTTGGTAAGTATTCAGGCGACGTACCGGCTAAGCAGTGGGAACGCAAGTCATCAGCTACGATCGAGTTAAGAAAGGAACACCCACTAATGTGTAATATGTAGATTGCACTCTCCGTCTATCAGAGGGAAATGAACAGGGACCGTACTACATGTGATAATTTCTTTTCAGGGAATACAACATTAGGCCTTTTCGCTATCGTTATTCTTCTAAATGGATTGAGCCTTCTTGTGAGTTGTAATCGCCATTGATCTTTTAATTTTTATTCCAACTATCACATAGTAGATAATTCTGAATTAAGAGAAAAGTTACAGAGGTGATCAATAGTGTCATGCATATGAATAGCAACCACTGATGGTAGTTGAAGGCATACCCCAGATCGCATTGGTGTGGCTCTTGCACACGAATGCGAATGTATTGGTGCGAAAGTGGGCCGGCAGTAAAGAAAAAAGGAAAAGAATCCGTCGAAAACGCTCAGGTTAAGGGCTCACTCACCTTCCTAATCGGCTGTGCTAAGGGAATGAGAGACTAAGCGCGGAGAGGAGAGTATGAGGCGAGAGAGCGCTACAGATGAGAGAGCGCCAGACAACAGCCTGATAAGAGAAAAAAGTCTGCAGCTTGGGCAGCTTACTTTGCAAGGCCCAAGCGCTCTGCTGGTTGTTTTGTTTTTTCCGCCGTACATGGAACGCCAACATTTGTGATATTTCCGGGGCAAGTCTACACAACGAAGGAAACGTCTGGCACGACTTCTTCCTGGACTGTGCCTTTTAATGGCTGTAATCGATACGCTAAAAAGGCATATTCAATACCAGTTTTGCCAAGCGGCAAGATATCTTTACCGAAATCTCCATTCCATATCAAGTAGCACCCGAAACTCGTTTCCGCCTTCAGATCCTTCTCCAATTCTTCCATTTTGCTTGAGACTTCCTGACTTTTCCAGAAATAGTATATCATTGGACTAGGTAACGGGTGTACCGAAAGTGCTCATTACTCCACTATTACTAATTTCTTATCATTTCTTTCGAATGTGGAGTGGTAGTCCTAAAAGAGTCCACTGCATGGTCAGGGCGAGGAGCCGAAGAAATTTTTTTAATTCGACCCCCCAGGCTGCCGCTCCGCTGGAAGCTATCAAATACTTAGTTTTCAGCACAGGATATGCTCTCCATCTCGTCTATCATTTGGTTGACAGAAGGCTTGTAACCGCCTTAGTCGGCTGTGTGATGATTGATCTATAGCACCTTAGAAAAGCTTACTATCGAAATTTGAACACATATTCAAATCATTATAACTTTCTTCGAATATTAGTGTCTCAATCTAAAAGTGTCGCTTTTTCAACCGAAAATGTTTTTTATTCAGACCTCCTGCCTTTCATCGAATTCATATCCATACCCCCCCGTTCGAAAGAGAATTGTCTGCTCTACAAAATATCGTGTTCTTCTTCCATCTATGTTCCATGGTTTTCAAATTTTAAGCCTGTGAAATGGGAGGTCCCGCCGACAAAAATTGACCAAACCGACAACTAGCTCTAACTTTATGTTCCCTTCGGAGAAATCAATCAATGATGTACCCTCTACTTACTCATGACCTCTTCTGAACATTCCACCCTTAGGTTGCCGAAAAAGGTTTGCCCTGTTTCTTTTCGAATTGGCCAACCGATAAGTCATGGCAATTTTCAAATTGAAATTCTTCCTCTGAAACGCTATTGTTTTATATCAACTGGTATATCTTTTGTGAGCACTTCTTCTGCTCTATTCGCTCATTTGTTTTGTTTTGATGTTTGTTAGGAATTAGCTCGAATTTTAGGGTTTAGGAGTAAGGTGCTTTGTCCACAAAAGTGACCGCATTTCTCGTATAACAACCAGCGTACATTCCTAACTTAGTCACGACTTGTTCTTGAAATTCCTACTAGTTTTTCAATGTCTCGGCTGTAAAAAAATTTCGACCTCGATCTCAGGTAATGGTGCTCAACCGTCGAGTTCTGGTTGAAAAACCGGGTCTGGAAATGGAATGATGCGACTTGTTGGGAAACCTAATAGTGTAATGTTTAGAAGAGGTCATGCATAAGTAGAGGGTACATCATTGATTGATTTCTCCGAAGGGAACATAAAGTTAGAGCTAGTTGTCGGTTTGGTCAATTTTTGTCGGCGGGACCTCCCATTTCGCATGCCTCAAATTTGAAAACCATTGAACATAGATGGAAGAAGAACACGATATTTTGTAGAGCAGACAATTCTCTTTTGAATGGTATATAACTCTCTGTAAAAGCATGGGGATTTAGATCAAAATTTTCTGGTTGAAAAAAAGCGACACTATTTATGAGACAACCTAATAGATAAAAAGGGTGCGCGCGCCGGGACTCTGTATGAGAAGATCTGTAAAAGAAAGGTAACGTTGCGCATTCATCGACAGTGTCAATTCTGCTCCCTATGATTTAAATGATTTGAGTATCATATAAGCATGACAATTTTTACTACGGAACTCTGTAATGCTGACTCGATGGTTAGCATCACACTCTAATTCCTTTTATAGTGGTAGGGTTGTTTCATTCTAAGCAATGAATTGCGTGAGCCAGTGGATCTGCAAATCAGCGATCCCATACTCTCAAACGATTTTGAAACCGATCATCTTGAGGTACGGTAGAGATAGTGTCTACTGGTATAGACCGGATACAATCTCGGATTTTATTTCAAGGCTGCAGTTGTGGTGAACCGAATCATTTGTGGCCACACAAATTCTATCTCTCAAGAAAGACTCATGAAATTAAAGAACTGCCTGGGAATAGCCGTCAAATGAGCATAAGCTGCTCAAGTGTGACCAAGCTCAAAGTACTTGGCAAAATACTCTACTTTTCCAGGTAAATAGCTTTAGTTACAAGCTGAATAAGAGGTACTACTTGGAAGCGATGAGCCGAAAAGAAGGCATCAGAGCCTATTCCCTTGGTGAACGCTATCAAATCGCCGAGAACATACAAACATGCCGGGTTCGTTGGTTTGTTCTCTTCAAATAGAGCTTTCTTCTTATTTTAGAAAGGCGCAAGTTATCGCATCACCACACTTTTTTACACACGTCCATCTTTTTACGGCATAGAATTTTTTTGAATGAAGTTGTTTTTCTATATTCAGTTCGTAAACAGTGTCGTGCTTTGGGTTGGATTTTTGAACACGATCGCGTCTGTGTCACTTATTGTTGACAATTTCGTCCAGTCTATGTTCTATCGAAACGTAGCAGTACTTAGTTTCAACTACTCAACAGTTGTGTAAGTTAATTCAACTCATTCAAAGCATTCATTGCAAGTTCCTAGCGGCTACCACAATGGTGTCTGTGTATGTCTGTTGGCTTCAAAACTAACTGTGGTTCTTTGAAAATTGTTTTCTGCTAGTAGTGCTATAAGGTGTCGAGCTTTCTTCGCCCCAACGAGCATGAAGGAAGTGGTTCACTGGTAATATTATGTATTAGTGAACCCCGGCTAGTATTGAGCAAACATCTTGTAACCTACTGTGCCGATTTATTCCTTTCTAATTCACATATAGCAAACCTCTGCACTATATCCATATTATATCACAGCGTTGCCTTCAAACCTTAAAGAGGATTTCAAGAAGTGGAAAGTTAATGGAGTATTTTTGCTTTTGGGGATGAACTTCCGAAGGCTGTGATGAGAGAATATCCTTGAACCAAACCGGAGCTGACAGTAGAAGATGGAGCCGGAGCAGCGACAGTTGGACAAAGGGGTAGCGTATGAGCCGAATGATAACCAGTAAAGTCGCGATTTCAATATAAATTTCAAGGCGTTAGTGTTGATCAGTTAACGTCACAAAAAGCATAACCTTCTAGACCGTTCTGCTACCCAGACTCCATGTGACGAGAGCAACACGTCACTTAACATCTGGGCTGTGATAGCAATCTAAACTTTTCCTTAACACGTTGATCATATCGCGGGTTTTGGCTTAGAACGTTTCCTTTGATTCTCGGTGCGTTCGAGAGTTATAGTAATGGAAGTTCGACTGAAATGGAGTGTTATGACCATGAGAGTCAATTTTTTCTAACTTTCACCTCAGTGATTTTATCCGAATTTATTTCACGTGGTTGCTACAGTAAGAACATACTTATATCGTGCCATGCGAATAGGTTGTATTTCGGTTCTATTATTCTTTTTATGTACATGTTCACGTTAATGAAAAGAAAATGAGGAATGAACTGAACGGATATTTTCGTAAGGTCCGAAAAACCTCTGCCAAACTAAAGAATATTTGGCCATTCTGTAAGCCACGTGGTTCTTGGTTATGTTGATGTATGGCCTATAAATGAACACAAAAACCTGGGAAGAAAGTCGAGCATGTGCGAAAAAGTAAATGTAACTGGGTGTGGCATATATAGTTGACACAATGTCCGCTCTGCAAAAATGATGGCATCACAGTTGTCGCGCTATCGTCAAGGTGATAATCTAATTTTCACTAGACAAGGATTACTTCGATGTTTTCGTAGACCCTGGAATGCACCACAGCTTTCCAGTACCTAGTTGACTTCATTCAGCACCAAGATCTGCTAAGCACGTTAATAAGATAAGCAGTTATCGTCTGGTTCTACACATAAGAGTTGCGGAACGATTGTTCTTCGTTTTGGTCACCTTACTAGAAGCGAAAAATTGACCTATGAAATTTTGCTGTGCAAAAACTCACTGCATTCGATATGGTTGATACCGTGGACAATTCCTCGTACGCCATTGTGAACGGTATTGACCACATTGAAAGCTTTCTGGCTGTGAATACTTTGAAGAGCAGACTGATGGGCAATTCCCCATAGAAGATTTTTTCAACTTTCTTCTTTTCTTTCAACTCTTCAACTTTGCGTTGACGGAGTAAAAACGTAGGCTTCTTTTAACGAAGATGGGTTCTTTCCAATGATTCTGCTCCGATTAATAATGCCTTATTTCTTCTTAGATATACTGCTCAAAATGAGGGGGGGGGGGCAAAACATTGCTTTACTTGTACGCTTAACAGAAAGTAGTGAGTGAAGTTTCAAATTTTAGCTGCGCCCACTTTGACACTTTTGAATTATTAGCTAAGCATGTTCCCAGACTTTATGGACACACACTTGGGAATCCAGTCAGAAAATTATCAAACGTATTGTATATTTTTGGCTTTATTCGTTTCTCGCTCTACTTCAGTGCACGGTCGGTCGGCCTACTGAAAACATGATATTTCTCTCCTCCCCTGAATCTTCCATTTTTCAAAATCTTCAGACTGTCATAGATCATGTAGCATTATAGTTATGGAGTTGTAAATAGAGACACATTGAACACTACAAATTTTATTCAGATATGGATTTGTGGTTCCCGTCGTTATCTATCGCCATAATGACAGCTGGAAAATTGAACTAAATCGCCTCAGGCGCAAGGTATGCGCTACATTACCTTCACTTGCGTCTAGAATTTGGAGAATCCTAGAGATATCAGCGTTCTCAGTCGTCCATCCGTGGCCATCGGGGCGCATGGAGCAATGTTTGACGCTTACCGCGACTACGGTTAGGAAGACTGCTCGTTTGCCAACTGTAGGCTGACGACCGACATTGCCGCCGCGTGACTTGTATGACAGAGCGCTTTTATGCATCTGCCCTTACGCCCCCCATTGTAGAGTAATGTGCGCTTTCGCGGCACCTTAAATTGCGGGCACTCGAGTGCAATAACAGGCAATCTTCATGGGTTTGAGAGTTGAATGAATGAGCAAATTTTTCTCCAGTGTGCCTTGTTTTCTTCCTAAAACATCACCATGTTTTATTCCACGATTTGGTGCAGATTTCACACATGTCGACCAGCCAGATAGCAACTGGATTTCAATTCCAATTGATTCGTTCTTGCGTAGGATCGCATGGCCTTTCTATTTACCTGATTCTGAGAATTCTTGAAAAGTCGTTCAATGCTTGCGCAATTGAGAGCGGAT